CGTTGTTTCTGGAATACATGCATAATGAGACCCCAAGTGGAACTTAGGTTCACATTAGGGGGCAGAGAGAAGAGATTATGTTTAACACTTGTTGAAACTTGAGAAAAGTTTACAAGTTGAAGTTAAACCGAAATGATGTTTAACACTTGTTGAAACTTGAGAAAAGTTTACAAGTTGAAGTTAAACCGAAATGATGTTTAACACTTGTTGAAACTTGAGAAAAGTTTACAAGTTGAAGTTAAACCGAAATGATGTTTAACACTTGTTGAAACTTGAGAAAAGTTTACAAGTTGAAGTTAAACCGAAATGATGTTTAACACTTGTTGAAACTTGAGAAAAGTTTACAAGTTGAAGTTAAACCGAGATGATGTTTAACACTTGTTAAAACTTACGAAAAGTTTACAAGTTGAAGTTAGACGAAGGAAAAACACTTGTTGAAATTTTATGAAACCAAGGTTATGTTCACAAAGGTACTTGGATACTTGCCGAAGTAAATCGTCAAAACCGAGGTATGTCACCCCGAGAAGGTCGCACAAAGATTGAAGTATATATTAAAGATATGAAAATTATTCTAAGTATGAAAGTCATACAAAAGCAATAAAGGGAAGACAAACATACAAGCATTCAAGAGAGAAGAAAGTTGCATTCATAAAAATAACCTCGGCCATACAAAGAGTTTGCATTGTCCCAAAAACAGAGAAATACAAGAGGCAAAAAAGAAAGGAAAAAAGACATCAAAAACTATGATTCCTTAGCATCATTAGCTGGCTAGGTCTGGATCTCAGAAGACTGCTGGGAGGACATCTCGGCTACCTTCTCGGCCGGAAGCTCAGCATCAATCTCTTGCAGGGTCTGATCAAGGCTCTTGTCAGCGAAGGGCACGTCCGATATCTCCTTTTGAGGCGCAGCATCCTTGGGAACCTCCTCAACCTCCTCATCCTGAGTCAAGTCCAGGACTTGCTCATTTTGAGTAGATGACTTGGCCCCAGCAGCTTTCTTGGGCTTCCTCACCAAAACCTCCTCCTCGGACTCAGAGTCATCGTCGGCGGGTTGGCTTGGAGTTGGGGGGAATGGCAGAGGAAGAACATCGACATTCCTGAGGGAGGAGTCCTCGAGGACATCAAGCCTTTTCAGCAAGGTCATGCAGCCAAGGGTGAAACCCTTGTTACATGCCTGCTTCACTTACTTTTTGTAATCCGCCGTAACATCGGCCACCCCTTCGTTGTAGCCCTTTTCATTGGCTGCCTTGACTTCGGCCTTTTTGATGGCCAGAGCGTCTTGTAGTTATTTTTGGGCCTAGGCCATCTTTTCTTTGGCCTCTCTCTTCTGGGCCTCAAGAACCTTCTTGATGGCCTCAACAGACTCTGTCTTTTCTTCGGCATCATTTTGGGCCTTGATGGCAACCTCGGCCTGGTCTTCCAACTTTTTCATTTTTGATTGTAAACTTTTGTTGGCCTTTTGAAGACTGGAGACCTCCCTCTTCATTTCGGCTAGCTTCTCCCGATTCTCAAAGATTGGATTGAGAAAGAATGGGCATGCTGGATGGCCTGAAAGTAAACAGAGCAGAAGTTGTTAGAAAAAATTACAAGTATGGAATGAACAGAAAGAAAGAAAAAGTTGCCAGATAAAGACAATTACTTGAACGGAGTGTTGAAGCATCAGAGCGTAGTTTTCATACTCGCTCAACTCGGCATTTCGATCAAGATCGCCGGGAAGAAATAGAGCAGTACTGAGGGCAACGCCGATATTAATGTCATGGGCACTATCATTGGCCATAACTGGCTTATCTTCCAGAGTGATTCTGGGCGCCCAGGGGGCATCATGTTTTTTGGACCCCGGGGTGGTTGCAGAGGATGACCTCGGCTTCTTTGATCTTGGGGACTCAGATGGTTGGGCCTCAGAACGCCTCTTCCTAGCAGCGGACTGAGACTTATCGCTTTCAGCCACTTTAGAAATAGGCAAAGTATCCTCAGTATCAACCTGAGTCACCTTTGCCTTTGGTTGAGCCTTTTTGATTCTTTTCTGTTTTGGTGGAGGCTGGGTTTGCGTGGGCTGAGCGTTAACATCAGAAGGGATGCTGGCCAGGAGATCTTTGGCAACAGCTTTCTGGCGGCCTATTTCAACGGCAAAAACGGTTCATCGCCGACGTTGTCGTTGGGATATTAGGATCAGGTATGGAGCCGAGGTTGACGACTGCTCAGCAGGATCAGAGGTTGATCCTTGGTCTGTCCGAGATGTGGACGCAACTTGTGGAGTTATGGCAGAAGGTGGAGAATGGCTTTTCTTCTTCTTTTTTGGGACATCGGGAAGAGCCGACTTATACGTCGGAATGAAGTTGAGAAGCAGAGGGGCCTTCTGCTTGAGAACTGGCAGATCCAAAAGTCTCCTCAAGTCTCTGCTGGGAAAGAAAGACTGACGGAAACCCTTTGGTGGCTGAGGAAGAGCTGCAAGAAAAAACAGACATTAGAAACAAATAAGAGTATTGAAGACTTTGAAACAAACAAGTAAATATGGACACAGGGCTCTTACCATTGCCCTCTACAAAAATTGATCGAGGAAGAGGGTAAAGATGGAGGTCCTCGTCTGGAGCGAACTCCCAGTTCCCCGAGGTAATGAAGTAATCGTCTCCAGCTCCCTTGTTAGAGTCTGGGAGGTCGGCTACGATTTTATATTCTGTGGATCTCGGCTTGAGGTAGTAAATGTAGCCCGTGTCTTTTTTTAGGCCACACATGGTGTAGCAATACTGGATATCGGCTAAGGTAACCCTAACATTTTCTTGTTTGGCTAAGGCAATTATACCGTTTATGACTCGGTA